AGGCATAAAGAAGGCATTTTGTCTCAATGTCAGATGCAGGGATATAAGATCTTTTGGTGTCTGGAATGCATAAGTAAGCCAAACAAGGTCCTCAATTAGAATTCACTCCCATTATAACTGCAGGCATCATTTTAAACTAAACATATGATGATCAGGCATTTTATGTGACCATGTTGGAGCAGTTTAGGTCTATCTGAACCAGAAGTTACTGTTCCCTCTGTTTAGACTGAGCAACTCACTGGGACTGTGCTGTTGTTGTGATGCTGAGTGAAAAGCAATTTCCTAAATTGCTCCTCTGTGGTTATTTGTCACTGTCTGAACATATTAGAATCCTGATCTACTTTTATAGAAAAAAAAAGAGGTAAAGCCATCTCAGTCTTAACCCACACGCCCACCATCAAATCTGTATGATTTTGCGTGTTTACACCTGCCATGAATGTAGTTTACTCTTTCTCTTTTATAAAATATTTGTCATGTCAGAGGCCAATGGCAATGTTGTCTTGCCCTTTATGTCACAGAATTGCATACTTAGAAAGGAGAACAGAACAGTACTATAAATCTCATATTTCCTCCTTGGACTATCACTTCTGTAAACTTCACGTACTTCAATAGTGTTTTAACTAGGCTACTTTCACAGAATTGCTAAACAGAATTAATATAATTAATACTAGCTATAATACAGTAATCAGCATCTTCCAAACATATGAAAACTTAATTAAATTATCTAATTAACCTTAAAAATTAATTACTATAAAAAAATTCAACACTATCCCTGTCACTTATGGCTGTCCTGGACCACAACACTGCTTAACTGCACATTCTCAGAAATTTTCGCAACACCAGTATCTACTACGCTAAAGCCAAAAGGCTAATTATTGCTTCATTTCCTGCTTTTAAATAGAACTAAATGGAAAAGGATTAGGGAAATGATAAGATTAGAAATGCAAATACCAAATAATTTATTGTATCAAAAATACACAAGAAATTGGCAATGAAGCCCAGAAGTCTTTATATTGGTTCAAGCAGCTGAAATAAACCTAAATGCCTGGAGATGGTGCTAAACCATCCAACAAGGGAAAAAAAAGACTGAAGATCCAAAGGGACAAAGAACAAGACAACTCATTCAGTACTTTGACCCTATGGTGGAACATTATGTATCTAACCAAGCAGGCAGGGCCAGTCAGAGTTGATTACAAAGACAGGGAATGAAGTCAGCATTTCCTGACTCTTGACTTGTTTAAAGAAATTGCTCTTTGCTGACAGAGTTGATGATTTATTCTACAGGTTATTTACTTAGATATCCAAGTGCAATTCTGTGGGTTTAGCAGCCCCTGTGAAGGGTAAACGAGAAGTGAGATTCAGCCCACAGTAAAGCGTAATGTAAGTAACCTCACTGCTAAAGCTTCGCATCTGATAAACAGGGATTTCTAGATTAAGGAATTTGCAGCTGAAAATTAAGAAATCAACAAAACAATGGAAAGTAGTTTCTTAATGGGAGCTTTTTAAAAGTTTAGAAACTTAATCTCAGCTTCTCTGATTTTAGGAAACTTTTGAAATTCTTTGAGCCAAGACTTACAGATAATTAAATACTTAAATTAAATAGCAATAAAGACTTCAGAATATTGCCATCACTTTCTTTCTGTTATTTCAGAGAAAAAGATTTATGGAATAGGAAAACTCAAGCTTTGAGAGATGTATTCAGTTAATATAGTGACACAAGATAACAAAAGCAGATGCAAGAAATCACTTACTTGAACATCCTGGATTTCCACCGTCAGGTGCTTCTTCTTCTGTAAAGAATGAAAACAAGAATTAAAAACTGGAAAAGCATTTTATAGCTATAAAACAAGGCCTATGGAAATATAAATGGAAATACTACATTTTCATTGTAAGTCCTTTTTAATTCATACCAACTTTTGATGTAGTTTGGCACACTGATGTAAATAACAAAGCTACTATTAACATTGACAGTACAGAGTCAAATCTAACGAGAGTTATGAAGTTGCCTTGATATTGTGAACTAAGACCCCAGAATAGGATCTTTAAGTCACTGAATTAAATGTTTTTGATCTAAACTGAGAAGGATCAGCTTCTAGGTTAACAAGTATTTCTAAAAGCGCTGTGTTAGTGAAATAGAGTTTATAATTGATGGGCACAAAATATAGAGGTGGACAGATGAAATGTACCATATGACACAGTTTACTTTAAAATTTTAGTCTATTTGCGTGCACGAAAATACTGCATAATGGATGAATGGCTATATTTTGCTTTTTGTACATTTAAAAAAGGACAACTTTGACAATTAATTCTACAATTCTCCGATATTAAATCTTTTCTGAATATTGAAAGTTCATTCTTTGGAGGAAAAGAACACTGATTGGAAGCCTATTCAAATTAAGAAGAATCATTTGCTCCAATCTGTCTTAGGTATGTCCCATACAATTCTATTTAAAATAAAAATAAAAAAAAAATAAATAAAATAAAAATCTAGTAAATTCGCTGCATTCATTTGATGCTCTGTCATTCTTTGGGATATCACACATGAATGCCAGCACTTTTCACAATATTCTCTGCAGGCTTTCCAAGTTTTCATTCTGGGAATTCTAAGGTTACAATAGTAATAGTAATAACATTATTAACAACCATTAGAAACAACTGCATCCTTCAAAATTGTATAACATTAGACAGCAACAAAATATGAGTTCATCAAAGGTGTATTTACGATGATTTCAATCTGCATATAAAACCAAATGTGCATAATTGGCCCCAGACTCACTTTCTTCCTTAAGGTTCCTGAAGTCTTAAGTAACACTACAGTGTTGTACTTTAAAAAGCCACTTCTTGGGCAAGGATAGCTCACAATCCACAGCACCATATTGATCTAGGCTGTCTTTTCTGATCTTAGAAAAAAAAAACGCTACTGGCCTACTTCTTTAATACTACTACTACTACTAATGACTATGTCCCTTTGGACAAAACTGTATTTATTTCAAATGCCAGTATTGCCTGCCAAATACATTTTACTTTATTGCTCTCCATCTTCACATTTGCCACAAAATAGGTTAGCAACAGCTGGGATAAGTCTGTATGGTATCTCCAAGCTACAGTATCTCCATGGGGGTTGAAAAGGACAGCATTACAGAAAAACAATTAGGCCAAAATAAATTATGTGAATTCCCTGCAAGGTGCAAAACACATAAAATCTAATCAAAAGACACCAGGTGACAACTGTGGCTTTTTCTATGCTGGGACCCTCCTATGATTGACCAGTCCTACAGAGGGAAGAGATGATATCTTTGCCACACTTGCCCTCTCTAATTCTATAAGCCATTGTCCTGCTGATTTTTTCATTATTGTTGTTTTAACGGGTTCATAAATAAAGCAGCAAAAAGCACTAACACAAAAGGCAGTACTCACGTGTGAGAACACCACTGCTGAGCAGCAGCAAGAGCAGCAAGAGCTGCACAGGGCCCATGGTGAGCCCCGAACCCTCTTGCTGCTCTTTCTTTTCCTCTGTTTTTCCTTCCCTCCCCTCTTCACCTCTTTCCTACCGCCTCAGAGGGAGAATGAGCCTTCTGACTTGGACCTCCATTTATATAGTCTGTAGCAAGCAGCTGAGGCAAATGGTTTAGATAGCTCAGAGCAAATTGCCAAAGGTCCAAAGGTGAGAGTCTCAGATCCTCACTGTGCTCCAGACAATGCTCTGCTTTAGTTGCTGGGAGTCCCTGAAGGCAGAAGCATATACTGGAGATAAGTGATTCTTCCAGTTCATTGGTTTTTTTCTTCAACAGTTTTAAAAGCAAAATCCCTCAGCTACAGGCTCTAGCAATGTATTAAAAAAAATTTCCCACCTCTACATAGGAACGATTACAATGCATAAATTATAGCTGGAAGAAATGATCACTGCAGCATGTTTTCAGTATAGATGATGAGAGGCTGAGGTGTATGAGTACTTGAAAAAATGAGAGTATTGTGCATTTTAGACTTCTTCCCTTTGTGGGCAGAAGAATGAAAATTTAAGATTTTCTTTCTTTGATGTACCAAAATTTGACATAAACCTTTTAGAAATAATTTTACATTTACTTGCAATATTCTGGTAAATCAGGTCATGTTCATGTTGAAAGTAAGCTCTGTATAATTCTTTTGTTCCCTTAGTTTTAGATTAAATTTCTTTTATTTGCTAATAATAGCAAAAAATATGAAAATAAGATGATAAAATTTATCTCAGTGAAGAAGATAAACCTATGAAGAAGATAAACCACATTAAAATACATACAAACAAAAACCTTTTTATGAATATGTATATTGGTAAAAAAGACTGGGTTTATGTCTTCAGAAATTTGAGTACGTTGAATACATTCTCTGCTCATATCTATCAAAGCTAACTGCAGTAAAAAAAAATTGACTATGGAAATAGTTAAGAACATTTTGTTCAGTAAATTTAATTTTCATATATCTGATCAAATGGAAATGTTTTGACATTCTGAAATCAAAATATTTCCTCTTAGCTTGTTGAATCAAAAATCAAATTTTGGCTTAGCTAAGCGGTAATTTCTTTTCCCTTGAAATGTTACCATGTTACCATGCATCATGGTAGTTATCTTTAAGTCTCTTATTTCTTCCTTCCCTTTCTCTCTTGGACTTCATAGTTTGGTTACATTTCCCAGGATGCACTATGACCATGTAACCCCTAAGCACTGATGTACAATGGAGCGTACTTTCCAAAAAGGGGCACATCTTCCTTGTAATTAGGATTTTGTCTGATGTCCTTAACCATGCCATTTCAGAGGGATTTCTGGCAGAAATTTCTTTCATTGATTCATCAGTATTGGAGGCATCATGAAGAAAGCATTTCTTAGAATTTTCCATTTTGGTCCCTGTCCTTGACTTATACCAATCACAGATAAAATAAAATAACCAATAGGAGATCATTAGGTTTTGCTTCTAAAAAGCAACATAGGTTTTTGCTTACTTTTGCGTCTACAGCTGCCTCAATATGTGTTGTGATACGTAGCAATGATTTTACTTTGCAGTATGATTCTACCAAAGAGACTGTACAAAAATATCATTGCCCATAGTATTTGATCCCTTTCTGCATTCAAACATCAAGAGGTTTTGACTATTATTTAAAATCTATTTATTTGTTCACTTCAGCAGTGCAGATAAAGAGAGCTCTGGAGTGCCCAGCATTCCGAGATTTCTTAGCTATTTCCCTGTTTTGCCTGTGCCTCTCCGCTGCCGTCATGTGGTTATTTGGGCTCCAGCTGAGGTTGACTGATTATATTAATATGACGTTGCACGGACATCAACAGATTACAGAAGTCATGACTCAGCCCATAAGCATGTAGGTAACATGGGTGCACCACTCTATTGCGGCAGGTTTATATTGCTGTATTACCTAGTCAAGGGACAGCATTTTTTTTCACAACAGGTGGCACGAAATGTCACACACTACTTTTATCTATTCAGTCATCAAGGAATCCCCATGCTTTCAGATCATTGGAGGAAGTCAATATTCACATGGAATTAGACAACATAAACTTCTTCTTTCAGCTATTTCTGTGAAATTGTGGGGTTTGACCTCACAACACAGTTTATCTTCCAAACCAATCTGTTTTAAAGTGTATTATCTCATCTCTACTTCTGGCTAAGTCCCACTCTCCTCTGAGCATATCTCTTGGAAGTGAAATGAAGACTCTGGAGATGGAACTATTCTGAAACCCAGTGACTGTATCACAAATCTTACAACTTTGCATCTTTCAACAGACAGGCAGAGGGTATTGATGCAGATTTGAAAAGAGAAAGGCAGACAGAAACATCACACTTCACTTCCTGATGTTCTACACTGGAAATATCTCCAATCTTTGATATATGCTGTATACCTCTAATCTGCAGAGATTTGGTCCTGATCTAAAAATCAAACACATAAATGGAAGTTCTCCAGCTGTCTTTGGATCAAGCCAACTGAGGTGACTGCTGTGTTCCATGTTTCTTTTGCCTTAAGATTTTTTTTTTCTTCAATACACATTAATTGGAAATAGGGACAGTTTGGGCCTTAAGTGCTCACCATGGTAAGATAGCATTGTTGAAGCACTACATACTGCCAGAGACCATTAAGTTTGGTCACCGTTCCCTTCAAAAAACTTAAATACCAATATTAAAAATTATTCAAAATACATGATTAAATTATATTTAGAAAGGAACTATTTCTGGACATTTCATGGTTTTTCTTACGAGAAGGAGGAGTAAGGGGAAAATTCCATAAAGGAGATAAAAATGTCATCAGCATCTGGTAACTAACCATTACTGAAATGAAGTTTCATGGCTTATTGAGGAAAATGCAGGGCATTTATTAATGTTGAGGAAATAGGCTAGCTGGAGCTGTCATACATTTAATGAATTTTGCCAATTATGTCTTCTTTCCTAAAAATCTTGCCATTGGTTTAGGATGTTCTGCACGTTCATACATTGATACTACCTAAAACCGAAAAACAGAACACACACAGATTCTTTGTAGAACACAAAGTGCAGTTCATATATGCAAAGAATGACTGATAAACTGAAGGTGTCACATCTACATGCATGGACTAGGTGTTCACACAGTGCACTACTTCATGCACTAATCAGCCATACTGTGTACGGACTGAATCAATGGTCTTATGAAATGTAGGAAGTATGACAGTACTGCCGATATGCTGAATTAATTTTGTGCAGAGTGATAATTTGTGCATGGGTATTACAGATACAGAAAATCTCTGACATGATGTGGAAGCCTTAGCAATTGTAGAATCACAGAATAAACTTGGTTTGGAAGGGACCTCTACTCAAACCCCACGCTCAAAACAGATCTTACTAGATCAGGATGCTCTGGGCCTTGTACAGTGGAGTTCAATCAAATGATGAAGGCATGGTCATCTGATGCTCTGCCCTTCATAGACTTCAATCTAGCTTCAGTATTAACAGGCTACTGCTGCCTCACACATACATGAAGAAATTTTATCTTGTGCCTGTTCTTGTATTGCCTTAGGATAAGGCCCTCTTCAATTAACTCATATAGGTTCCTTATTAAGTTTTACATCTCATTTTCACTCAATGACTTTTGCAAGACAACAATACAGACAGTTTATGGAAGCAATTATGCTTGGTACTAAGTTGCTTATAGTCCAGATTCCTTATGTACCTTCCGTTCCATCCCTCTCTCCCTTCTCTTTTTCTTTCTTCTTTTCTTCCTTCTTTCCACTTTCCTTTCTCCCCTTCCTTCTTTTCACCTTCCTTTCTCCCATTTTTCTTCCTTCTTTCTTCTTTTCTTTTCTAAGAAATATACTCTCTACAAGGTGTTCACATTTTTTTTGTTATTATTTATTCAGTTCAAGGCCCAGCACTTTTCGTTTTTTGGGAGCTCCTTGGAAACATTGGTCTTAGTCTTCTACTGTGTTTCCCAGATCACACTGTCATCTGTTTAGGTCTTAGCATGTCCCTCACCAGGGAAAAATGGCTGTATTTTCTGGCGAAACACCTACGGTGCTGACTATAACCCAATGGCAATTGGAGGAAACCGTGTCTCCCAAAGGAGGTGTTGGAGGTGCATAAACATACACTCTGTTTGTCTAAGAACTGCTGCCAGAAGCCTGCTGAGGCATCAAGAGTAGAAAAATATTTGGCATAAGCCATCTCCTCCAGAATTTCTCTCCTTGTAGGTAGTGGAAAATGTTTCCTTTTTACATATTTATTTAGTTCTTTTGAGTATATTCCTGGGCAAAGAGTCCGTCTTCTTTTTGCACTAATGAGAAGATGTACTGAATCTTTGTTGAACCTTTTATTCATACTCTTACAAAATATTAAAATTCCCCAGTTCCTCCATTTTGTTTTGTCCCAGGGCAAAGAAATGTACTTTTGAACTGTGGTAGGTTGGGATCTCTAAATTCAGTTTTGAATTCTGCTAAGAGATTCCTACAAAGTTTTGCAAACCTCTACTTTATTCTCCCTCTCACTAACAAGGTGACATAGTGAACTGCTCAATGTATTTCTAAACCAGCATTTTTTCCATGTTTTTTGTTTTTCTTCCAATTTCTTATTTATCCATATTTTCCATTCAAATGCTCCCTTATAAGCTCACCACTCGAAGACTGGTCTTCTACTGTCTCTTTTAGTACTAATAATACTGTTTCTGGTACAGATGTTCAGAGCACCTGTGAAAAAGGTAAGACTAAGAAATTACCTATTTACTTTCACAATGACAATCCAGGGATTTCCTGTAGAAAAATTACATGCTGCTGTTCTAGCAACCTCCATTGAAACAGTGGCATTTTTTTCATCCTTTTTGTCCAGGTTGTAGTGTTCCAATATTGCCAGTCCTGCCAAAATGTCATATTCCAGTGGAGTGTCATGACACAAGTGGTTCAGTGAACCATAGTTTTTGATAACTCCAACTTAAAAATCTGTGCACCTTTTTGCTTCATGTCTCCCATGGTTTAA